TCGTAGAAAGCTCAAAAATTGTTGCCAAAATTCCTGGATGAACTAGACATCATTATCAACAACTTTGTAGATCTCAATTTCATATGTTGCTAAAGACTCAGCTTCACTCTTTGTATTGTGGGGTTCACCAAGATTTTCCAAATGATTTAAAGCATCTCTTATTTGTGGAGCTTGATATGTTATTGCTTTAACACTTTTAACATGACTTTCCCACCTTGTTTGTGACAATGGCTTCAATAACAGTTTTTATGACACAGATTCGTCACATTTCCTTACATTAATTCAATGCTTAAATTTATAGATCAAATCCATAATCTAAAAATTTATCATGAAACTAGACTTCTCAAATTTCGTCTTTTAGTTAGAAATTACCAGATTTGGCATAGTATAGAATTTTATATAAATTTTCAAATATATAGTAAAATCTGTCTCCTAGTTTCAGATTTAGTTAAAAATTTGTATAAACTCGTAGAAAGCTCAAAAATTGTTGCCAAAATTCCTGGATGAACTAGACATCATTATCAACAACTTTGTAGAAGAAATCATCTCAAAATTTTGAGTATAAAATTGTTTAAATATTCATGCAAACATTCTGGCAGATTTAAGGACAAACAGATTATTTTCAATCTTCTCTTTAAATGTATAAACTACACATGCAATTTTTTTTTTTTTTTTTACAATAATAAGATGATTTTAAGACTATCAATATCTTTAAACACTTGATATACACATCACAAAATTCTTACACACACACATATATATATATATATATATAATTTCTATTTATGAGTAGTCATTTTAATCACAAGAACATAATCTGAAAACTTCATTAATAAAAAGAAATGAGAGGGCTGAGAGGATTTTCTTACTTAATAGTGGGATTCAAAAGGGTGACAAAATGGTAGCAAAATTTTGCTTCTTTAACCTTCCTCTCTTCTTCTCCTTCTACTGAATTTTTTTTTTCCCCTTAGTTTCACCTGTCCAAGACATGCATAGGCTAAGCCTTCCATGTACAAATACAAATCCTGTTGAGCCTTTCCCCCCTCACTCCCTCTCTCTTTTTCTCTCTCGCCCTATGCTCTCCACTACAATTCTCCCTAACCCAAGAATGATGATGGGATAGAATTTTCCAAGCTTACATGCAAGCTTGCAGGTGGCACATACCTGCCGAGAATCTGATTCTTCCCTTTTTTTTCTTTCTTTTTTTTTACTAATAAATTATAACAATAATTATTGAACATCCACAACATTTTTATTCTTAATAAGGTCTTTGTTAGTGATTGAATTGGGTTATTTTAAAACTAATTTTTACACTATTATATATTTTAGGTAGATTATGAATAAAATTAATTAATTAATTTATTCATTTATTTTCTTTTAAGAATAATTTAAATATGGGTTTTCACAGGTTTCAAACCGATTGTTTGTTTAAGCTTAAGATTGAGGTTATTGTGCTTAATGGTTTAATCCCTTTGGGGGTTCATTACCAACGGCATGACATCGTTCTCATGCCTGAAACAACATTTGGTTTGGTACTTCTTTCCATTAGTGGATTTAAAGCTCATTTTTGGACTTAATGAATTAAGGAATGGAAGGTAATTAAAAAGAAGTAATAAAACTTGGATTAAAATAGAACAAGATAATAAAGATTTGAGTTCAATCAGACGTTAATTGAACACATGGAGACTTGAGTCATTTCATACTTGTTAAATGATGAAATGGTTCAAGTTTCCAAGGTCAACCACTTCCCTTGATCAATCCATGATAGGGAGAAGGTTTTGTTGGTCTTTTTTTGTGCATTTATTGAAATTGTGTCCCTTGATTCATAAGTCATCACGTAACGAGATTGTGTCGTTTGATGGCTTGCAAATTAAGTCTACTCCTCATTTGACCTGTTTACTGATAAGGAGAGGCAAGGTGGACAAATATCTCCTGAAAAAACTCTGGTTTGTGCTCTGTTTGTCCTTTGTTGCTACAGGAAAGAACCAACATCAGTGACCGGTAGGCCACTTTTAGTGGACAGTAACCCACTATTAGTGGCCTGCTGGCCACTACTTTTGGGTTGCCGGTCACTTTTTCAGCCAGGCAGTGTCCTTTTTCCAATAGAGCAGAGCAGAAGTTGAGGTGAAAAAATAATGCAATTTTCTAACCATGCAACAGAGGCATTCCGGTAGCAAAACGGAGAGCATTATAGGGTGAAAATCCGCGTTCATGCATGAGCCATCCCTAGTATTTCAGGGCCCATTTAAATTTGTGTTGTACTTAGCTAGTTAGTTGTGTTATACTTAATTAATAAGCTAGAATAGTTAGTTAAATTTGTTGTTGTAATAATTAGTTAATTAGCTAGTGTAGTTAATTTATTCATTTGGTTTGTAATAGTTAGTTAATTCGTAGTAATTAGCTAGGACATTCATTCTGACCCTCCTGCATGAGGGCAACTTGTAATAATATATATGTCTTCCAACCCTACGTCTTTCTTCCTTTTATTTATCTATTTACGATGGATAGTTTAGAACATCATGTTTCATTTATCATATTCCATGTTTGCATCCATTTATCTTGCATGCATCGAGGCTCGATTCATCATTTTAACAAAGCATTGTTATTTATTATTGCTTTGAAAACGTGCTTAAACTGCATACTATCAAATTGATTCACATGCCATACTTGCATTAGGCATATTGCTTTAGTTAGGATCATGCATTTTTCTAACTATTTTCTCTCTTTTGGCTCGCCTTAGGAATTGGGGTAAGCTTTATTGCTTTATTATATTGCATGAGTGTGATTGTTGTCAGTCTAGCATGCTTGCCCTGAGGCTAACTACTAAAGTGCTAAATTGTTTGGATGCCAGTGGCTGAAGGCTAATTGCTCAAATTGGGATGATTTGATCAAATGTACATGTGATGTCACCTTTTCAAGTGGTACATATTCGAAACAATTTTCAAAAACAAACATGAAATCAAAGTGTTCCAATTTTTGCAAATTAGTCTATACTTGTGTGCAACACATAGTAAGTTAGTCTAATAATCGAAACAGGAGCATATAATGTAGATAAGAATCACATCATGATTAGTAGAGGTCGATCTTTGATCGAGCCAATAGGGTGCTCAATTCATAACCTTCCTCTCTCGTACCTAAGTTCCAGAGTCGAGACAATCTTGGTGGTGACGGACACGTGGCCTTTATTACGAGTCACGGGTTTCCTAAATTTCTCAAAAATATTTAGGTGGCGACTTTGTATTTGGCAAAGCAGCTCATTTTTGGCATTTTGATTCAAAATTAATTTTCCAAAAGAATTGCCAGATGTGGACTCATTTGTGTTTATCTATTTCACATTGCACTTGTGGAATCAGATTCAGCACCACGGGGGTTCGAACTGTAGGGCTAGTCGTATCCGAAATGAGCACGGAAAGTTAAGCTACATGCATGTAGCCAAGTTCATCAGAAACAACATCATCTGCCGATATAGGGTTTCGAACAAGATCATCTTCGATAATGGCTCACACTTCTAGAAAGAGGTGCTGGATCTACTTGAGAAATACAACGTGACTTTTCATAAGTCATCAACATACAGACCACAGACTAATGGAGCTATTGAGGCCACTAATAAGAATATCAAGAACATATTGCGGAAGATGGTGGAAACGTATTGGGACTAGCTAGATAAACTATCGATCGCGCTCTAGGGCTACAAAACCTTAATCCAAACATCTATAGGGCAACCCCCTATTCTCTCGTCTATAGAATGAAGACTATTTTGCCCGTCGAAATTGAAGTGTCATCGCTGCGAGTTATGGCCGAGTGTAAGATAGAGGAGGCGGACTGGCAACAGAGCAAGTTTGAGGAGTTGATGATGTTTGATGAGAGAAGACTAAGGGCATTATATCATGTCCAGGGCTACCAACACAGAATTGCTAGGGCTTTTAACAAGAAAGTTAAGTCTAGGAATCTCAAGGAGGGAGACATGTTATTGAAAGACAACCGGGCTCCCATCCATGACCCTAGAGGCAAATTCTGACCCAATTGGACTAGTCCTTACATCATCAAATCTATCTGGTCGGTAGAGGTGATTATTCTCATGGACCTAAATGGCCTGGAGTTTTTACAGCCGATCAATATGGATAAGTTGAAGAAATATTACCCTTGAGACCAGGGCTGGCCCTGAGATTTAGGGGGCCCAAGGCGACCTTCGAAAATGGAGCCTTTTTTACATTAAAAAAAATTGATGGATAAAATGATAAGTTACAACAACTTTTTTATTTGTTTGTAGCCACAAAAAAATTTACTTGCACATATAATCATTAAAATTATAAACAAAAATTTACTTTCATATATTAAGATAGGAAGCAATCATTACAAATACTCAAAAAACTAAAAATCTAGTTTTGTTGCTTTATAGTTTAGAAATATCCAGTTTACAATTGAACCAGCTATCATATAAACATTACTATTCTCACATTTTTAGCTACAAAATCACTCATGAAGCTTGCATAATCGAATTTATCCACCATATCCTTTTCAATGGATAACAAAGCTAACCCATTCAATCTTTCTTATGACATAGTTGACCGAAGGTAAGATTTGATTAACTTCAACTTTGAAAAACTTCTTTCTCTAGAGGCCACTGTAACAGGTATAGTTAACAAAATTCTATACACAATCCATGCATTTGGGAAACAACCATCCATTGTTTTCAAATAATTTAATACTTCAATTGGCCTTTTGATTCCTTCCGGTAAAACTTCTTTCAAGACATTCAACTCTGAAAATAGATCTCTCCCATCAATATCAGGAAGTTCATCATATTTCAGAAAATCTTCAAGATTAACACAATAAGTCTTCAAATATCCCTTGTTAGTAGAACTCAACTTTTTCAAATCAAACAAAAATCCAAAATTTTCCTCATATACTTGAAATTGTTCAAACCTACTCTTAAGTGAAGAAAGAGCATGATCAATTATATACATAAAGTAATTAACTCTAAAAGATTCTTCAGCAGTCTATGTCACCTCTTCACTAATATTCTCATCAAATTGTTTCTTTCTGCGAATGACACGCTTTTCACAAAATACTGGATCAATTTCCATTAGAGTAGCAACTTCTTTTGCTTCAATCATGGCATCCAAAAATCCAGTTTCTCTATACTTTTCAAGAAAGGTAATGAGTCCTTTTAACTGAATTATAGCAACATCAATATGCATGTCCTCCCTTTGAAATATTTTGCTAACTGAGTTAACTGCAAACAATAAATTGTGCCAAATAATCACGCCAAGCAAAAATTCAAAGTTCTCAATTTCATATGTTGCTAAAGACTCAGCTTCACTCTTTGTATTGTGGGGTTCACCAAGATTTTCCAAATGATTTAAAGCATCTCTTATTTGTGGAGCTTGATATGTTATTGCTTTAACACTTTTAACATGACTTTCCCACCTTGTTTGTGACAATGGCTTCAATGTGAGACCTTCCACGTGATCTTTGAAAACTTTCCACCGCTTTGTAGAAGATGAAAACAATAAATATATACGTTGTAACACTCCAAAAAAAGAGATAGCTTTGGGACAAGAGTTAGCCACATCACAAAGTCCAAGGTTAAGACTAAGACAACCACATGGTGTGTAGAATGCTCCAGGATTTATTTCAAGTAGCCTTTTCTGTACACCTTTGTGTTTCCCTTTCATGTTAGAGCCATTATCATATCCTTGCCCTCTTATATCACCAATATCAAGTTGGAGTGTGCACAATACCTCTTTAAGTACATTAAAAAGACCCAATCCCGATGTGTCATCCACCTTTAAAAATTCTAAAAAGAACTCTTCCAACTTTACTTGATTAGTTGAAACATCCACACATCTTATTACAAGAGACATTTGTTCTTCATGACTAACATCTGGAGTACAATCAAGAATAACTGAAAAATATTTCGCTTATTTGATTCTTTCACAATTGTACTTTTGATCTCACCCACTAACATTTGTATCAATTCATTTTGGATTTTGTGACCAAGATAATGGTAATGAATTTCATTCCTTTCAATGCGATGAAGGTGGTCTTGCATTACCGAATCAAATTGAGCAATCATTCCAATTAAACTTAAAAAGTTTCCATTTCTTTCTTGATAAATCTTCTCATTGTCTCCACGAAACGCAAAATTATTTTTAGCAAGAGTTCTCACAACAACAATTATCCTTAGTAACACCTTTTTCCAATGTTCTCTCTTCCTATTGATTTGTTCTTGAACACCTTTATCAATTGTTTCATTCTTTTGCAATCTATTTTCCAATTCAATCCATTTGCTCATACAAGTCATGTGCTCATTGCTAGTTTCATGACTTCTAAGCCTATGACCTAGATTCTTCCAATCTTTAAATCCATTAGTAGACAACTAAGTCTTGTTCCCATCTTCCTTAAACAACTTACAACAAAAGGAAAATACTTTGTTTGAAGCATCTGAATAGACTAGCCATTTCCTATCTTGCTTCTCTTCATTTGATAAATTTCGAATGTAATATGTAGAGGAGAAATGTCTATCATTGTCATCTCTAGGAAAATTGACAACATTACTTCTTATAGGACCTCTTTCAACTAATAAATCTTTGAAATTCTGATCAATCTTGTCCCAATTACTTGGGTCATTAATATTTAAAGGTCCATATTCAACATTAAAATCTTCACTTTCAGTGGCTTTCCCATTCACCAATTCTTCATTGTCATTCTCATTCAAACATTCAATAGGCTCTTCAACATCCAAATCTTCATTTTCATTCTCATTACATTAATTAAGTTCTTCAATTACCAAATCTTCATCAACCAAACATAAACTTTCTATTTGTTTCTTGCTACCAAAAAATTTATCAAGCGCTCCTAATTGAGATTGAATAAAATTTTCTAATTTTTGCTCTTTTTCCTTTTTTCACATCCAGAAATATACTTCCTAGAAGGCATGACTACTCTATATGATCACAAATCCACACAAATTCACAATCACTGATCTCTGCAAATAATATACTTTCAGAATTAGAGCATAACAAAAATTATAGACTTTCACTAAAGCACATGAATTAGGTAATTTTCTAATTTAAAGAACAAATTATATAGGGCAAGAAATTAGGAGAAAAATTAGGGGAAAATTATTGCAATAAATTAGGGCAAAAACTTCCTCCATTTAAATGTGATATATATATATATAGAGAGAGAGAGACTCACGGTTTTGATGCCCAAAATCGTTAATGCTCAGTGTCCATCAAATATGGAGGAGAGGAGAGGACTGAAAACTCACACGATTTCATCTTCATCAGTCCAATGCAAGAGAGAGATGAATCCAATTCGAGAGACAGAGATGTGTTTCTTAACCCATGTGAATTCATTCATTCTTCAGTAACCCATGTGTTTCTTTGATCTTCGTTCTTTCAGTGATCCATGTGGGTATATTATGATGTGTTTGTTTTTGGGCCCATGTTCATTGGGCCACTATTATGATTTTTTTTTTTTTGGCCCCATGTTCAATTGGGCTTATAATATTTGGTTTTCTTTTTTATATCTAAAACACAAAATCATATTTTGGGACCCTATTTTCAGCCCAAATCTAGGGGCCCAAGGCGCAGGCCTCTTTTGCCTGCCCTTAGGGCCGGGCCTGCTTGAGAGGCTCGCTAGGCCGAAAACCCGGAAGGACGACTTAGGCAAAAGTTAGAGCATGAAAAATTAGAAAAAAAAATAAAAAATTGAGTTGAAAAGGTTGAAAACCCGGAAGGGCGACTTTGGAAAAAGTTAGATCGCAAAATGAGAGAGTTAATACTCAAGTGAACCTAAACCGAACTACGTAAGGCCTGATTCCCATCTTTGGGATACGTAGGCAACTTCATCTCGAGGTTCGGCCGTAATCATCTCCAACTCAACTGTCCCATTCATTTATTTTGATCAGGTCATCTTTCTCTATTCTCAGTTAGCTTGGTTATGTGATCTTCAGTATGGTAGCAAAAGGGCCGGTAGGAATGCAGTTATGGGCAGTTACGATCTTTTGATTCGGGGCTGTACATCTTGAGGGTTGATTCCGTGCGTATCAGGTAGTGATCACTTTGGAAAATTGTTTTGAAAAGTTTTGATGAAAGTGGATTTGTCTCAAATTTTACCTTTTACAACTTAGACCATTTTGGGACCAAAAGGAAAATTTTTAGTGCTCGCAACTTTAATTCCATTGATTTTAACACAAGTACAATCTCCAACTCTCTGATTGCAAATCAAAGTTCTTTTTACATCACAAAAACTGGAAAAGAAAGGTCAAAGTAATAAACTAAGGGCATGGGTGAGTCAGGTGTTCCTGTGTCCTCTACTTGTGCTGGCGGAAGCCTCTGCAACCCAAGTTGGCCCAACTTGTGCCTCGTCCTTGAGCTAAGCCAAGCACTCGCCAGAAAGAGCATAACTAAAGCTAGGTGCAGGGGCCAGAAGCTCTCTCATCCTCCAATCAATAAGGTATCGAGGCAAGTGTAAACCACGAAGTGGAAATGAAGCTGGGTTTTCTACCCCCTCATCTAGCTGAGTCTAATCATATCCAAACTGGCGTCTGAATTGGAAAGGGAAGTAGAACACGCAGTGCGTGAGGCCAATTAACTGTATGTGTAGACACCCCATTTTTGACCGTCCTCAAGACTTGGACGTCACCGTTTGAACACACGGTGATCTTCCATGTTTGTGTTCGTTTGGAGTTCCCGGAGGTCTCGGCTCGCGCGCCTTGCCTCAGGATCCCCGAACTCGACTGATTAGTGTCTGGTTTTGCACCAAACACTTGTGTTTTGCCTTGAAAAGTTGGCCCAACTTGTGCCTCGTCCTTGAGCTAAGCCAAGCACTCGCCAGAAAGAGCATAACTAAAGCTAGGTGCAGGGGCCAGAAGCTCTCTCATCCTCCAATCAATAAGGTATCGAGGCAAGTGTAAACCACGAAGTGGAAATGAAGCTGGGTTTTCTACCCCCTCATCTAGCTGAGTCTAATCATATCCAAACTGGCGTCTGAATTGGAAAGGGAAGTAGAACACGCAGTGCGTGAGGCCAATTAACTGTATGCCCGGTTGTCGGGTCATGCTGTAGCTAATTTTAGCCTAGTCAAGCTAAGGGCAACGCCAAGCTATGTCAACTGTCGTTCTGTTGCACATCTAGTTGCACCACCATCCCTCATTGGGAAAATCCACTAGCTGTTGGCGAAAAAAGTAAGCTCGAACTGAATATTCGGGGCATACCTAGGAAGGGATGAAAAAGAAGAGAGATTAAAGAATAAAGAGGTGTACGTTGAGAGAAAAGTAAGAAAAGGGTTTGGAGAGAAAAAAAGAGCGTGAGTGCCGAGTGATGTGAGAATCACATATATAAGAAAGGGTGGGAAACAATACTTGGAGCAGTAATGGACTCCTCGCAAACCTGGTGGTCTCTCACCGATGAAAGGCATCCAAACCTATTAGGGTCTCGGCCAGTGTTAAACTAATGCAACTCTTACCCTCTTTCAAGTATTGGGCTACTTTGACTAGCTTAATGTTAACTCCACCATAACTAGAGGCAAGAAGAAAATGCTCGAGCATACATAAACAGAGGGCATGTTGCCGAAAGCCTAGCCAGAGAAGGTCACCTCTATCTCCGATATTGGAAAATCAGAGAATCAAGTTGAGTATATCTAGTTCCCCATCATGAGCCAAAGATCGAGCTTCGTGCAAAATAAGCCCGCACATTCGTCCTATAGACACCCCATTTTTGACCGACCTTAAGACTCAGATGTCATCGATTGAGCACTCGGTGATGGTGCATGTTGTGCTCGTTCTGAGGTTTCAAAGTTTCGGCTGAGAGCCTTACCCCCGGACCTTGGGACCCTTTTGTACTTTGCCTCGATTTGCAAACCAGGTCTTGTTTTCTCTTCCCGAAGGGAGGGAGAGGTCTCGTAGACCATCTCTCAGTGGCTGTAGGCTACTTTTCGTGGTCGTAGGCCACTTTTCCCGTTTGGAGACCAGTTTTCGGTTTTTGGAGCTGTCGGTCGTGCGCCTCGGCTCGAGACCGCTTAACTTTCTCCATTTGGCACGATTTTTGGCACACACCTTGTTTCCTCTCTCTAGATGGACACTATGGCCCGGGAGACCACCTTTGTGGTCGCACGCCACTTTCGATGCTTAACAACCTATTTTCGGGGCACCCGGCTGCGCGTTTTGACCCCCGAACCCTCGTTTTGCATCCATCTTGGTTCATTTTTGGCATGGACCTTGTTTTCATTGTTTGGAAGGTGGTACAAGAGTGGGAGACCACTTTTCCCCCGTCAACCGATTTTCTTATCAGGTAACTGGTCTCCCTCATTTTTGGGCCACAATTGTTAGTCTCCCACCACACCACTAGCTTGCATTCAGTTGGGAGACCACCAAATGGGCTGGCCGACCACCTTTCTTTGAGTTGACCCTTTGAACTGGTTGGCCGACCACCTAAAGTGGCTGGCCGACCACCTTTCTTTGAGTTGACCCTTTGAACTGGTTGGCTGACTACCTAAAGTGGCTGGCCGACCACCTGAACTGGTCAGCCTACTCCCTCTAATTCTGTCTCAGTGAGTTGATTCCAGCTGTGCTAGCTGGAAGGCACAGACTGCATCCTCCATACACGTGTATGGAGGATCTTTGGCCTTGGTTTGTAGCTTCTTTGAGAAGCTTTGGCCTTGTATCTCTATAAGAGAGGCCCTCCTCTTCCTTGCAAAAGGTTCTGAAATTCTCTAAGGCACATACATCTATCTTCCTCTATATCTCTCCATTTAGGCTTAGAAAGTGTGAAGTTTTTGGCCCTTTGCACATCATCTCCTAGCCTAACCCCTCCAAAACCAACCTAAGCTTCTTGGAGGCCTTTTAATGCTTTATTTTACTTCATCTTTTAGCCATACTTGCAAGTATATTTGAGCTTTTTCATCAACTAAAAAAAGTATTATTTTGAGGTCCTTAACATATTTGTTTAAGATCATTTTTCTGTTTGGGGTCATCTACCCCCTTGCATGCTTCATTTTGCCTTATTTTGAGCCATGCATTAGGGCCTTTGCATTAACCTTTGTTTGGCCTTCTAGCCACTGAAATCTAGTGGATTTTCAGTGGCTAGCATGTTGTTTTGAGTGCCAAAATGAGAGAGGGGTGACCCTCTCTCCCCTTGTTTTGTTTCCTAGCATATTTGGCCTAACAAAGGAGCCCTTATTTGCATGCTTCCAAGCCATGTTTCAAGCCATTTTTGATGAGTTTTAGGACCTTCATAGGCTCTTTCCAGAGCTCGTTTTTCCATATGAGGTGTCCATCTTGCATGTGTAGAACAATCCTCTTCATGGCTTATCAAAAGAGCATGCCATTCTTGCATGCATTGACTATGTTTCAGTGAGTTTTTGGGCTTTATTTGGCATTTCATACCTTTGAGTTTTTTTGGTTTAGTGACCTCTTGAATGCCTCATATGCTTGTAGTGTAAATCCTCTTTACTAGCTTACATTGCCTGCTATTTTGGCCTTTGATTCTAGCACTTTTTGGCCATGCCTTAAACTGATTTCATGCATGTTTTGGATTGCCTTAGATCTTTTTTTATGCCTCATGGTCAAATGATGCTTGCTATGCATGCTTGTAGTGTAATGTCCATGCCTAGTTTTGAGTTTTGAAGCTTCTTGCATGCTTGGATGGTGGTGTTTTCATGTGTTTGGGATCATTGAGCATGTCATTTCAGAGCCTATACTTGTGCCATATTCCCATGTTTTCCACTCTTTAAATGTGTTTGAGAGTCGTGCTTAAATACCTCATTTATGGGCCATTGCATGAGCTTCATTTCCATGCCTTTCAAGTCATCATTTTAGTCCATTTTCCTACTATTTTGGGCCTGCATAGGGACTGTTTGGGTCTAGTTTGGTCATTTGTGCATTGCTTTGTGAACCTCTAGTGTAATGCACTTCACTAGTTTCGGTATCCAGGCCATCTAGCATGTATTGTGTGAGGCGTTTACATGATTCGGGACCATCTTGCATGTCATTTCAGAGCTGAAAAATGTGTGATTGTATGCCATATTTCATCCCTTGCCATGCTTTGGTAGAGTTACATTTGGTGCCTTAGGTTTGGTCCCTTGCATTTGTGCATATTTGCATGAGTTTTCATTGCCTAATTTCATCATGTTTGGCCACTGGTTTGAGTGTGGCTGAGGCCCATTCATTTTAGTTTAAGTCCATCTTGCATTGTGTATGTCATGTCCATGTTGTCGCATGCTTGATCGTCGCATTGTGTATGCCTTGATTATGTCTTTGTGTATGTCCATCGTCATATGTGCATTGTGTATGCCATATAGCATCATGTGCATTGAGTATGCCATTCATAGTTCATAGCATTGCGTATGCTAGTTGCACCTTTGCATGTCATTCCTTGCATGTTTGCATGTCTTAGTTGCATTTCGTTTAGGAATGCATACTAGTTGTTGCATTGTGTATGCATGCCATATAATCCATGTGCATTAAGTATGCCATTGATTAGTTCATAGCATTGTGTATGCCATTTGTATGCTTGCATGTCATTCCGTGCATCTTCGCATCACTTAGTTGCATTGCATTTAGATCGCATGCTAGAGTTGCATTTGTCCATACATTGTTTGTTGCATTGTGTTTGGAGTAGGATTTAGTCCAAACACGGGGAACGAGTGACGTTTCGTACTCAAAGTGACGAAACGTGCCTCGATTCTTGGTCACCGACACTCTTGACTATCCATGATAGAGTTGTTGGCTTTAGGTGTTTACGTGTGCATTCATTTCACATTGAGTCGTGCAATTCGACTCCTCGGCCATCATGCATCGGGATGCGTGATTAGTGGCCCGAGAATCGAGGACTACACTCCCTAGAGCTTATACAATGATGGGGAGAATGGTCAGGCACACATATGTTGAAAATACCTTGCTTTCTCTCTCTCTTGCCTTTGTTGCAGAAAAACCAGAAACCAGAGACAGAAACTGGTCGGCCGACCAGCTTTTCTGGCAGGCCGACCAACCCTTTTGGTTTCTCCCACAAAAAGTGGTCGGTAGGTGGTCTCCAAGTCCATGAGCTGGTCGGCAGCCTTCCTATGGGGTCCCAGGGTGTAGTTTCAGCCTTCTGGAGCTTTGTACAAGTTTCTAAGATCAATTGCAAATAAAGGCAAGTTGAGACATCGCGATGGATTTCTCGACAAGGCGACTCGAGCATGCATGCATCCTTTATCATTCGGAACAGAGCTGAGCAGTCCATTTCATGTAGCTTGCATGCTAATTTATTTGCTTCCTTAGTTTAATTTGTTAATTAATTAATGTTGTGTAATATTTAGCTGTAATTCGTTATTCATTTCGGTTGTGTAATAACTAGTTTAATTAGATTAGATTAGCTAGTTAGTTCTGTATTATTTATTCGGACCCTCCGCAAGAGGGCGAACTTTGTAATAAGTGTGCGTGTGTGTGATGCATGTCTTCCAACCCCACGTCTTTCTCCCTTTTATTTACCAGCTTATGATGGTTAGTTTTAGGGCATGTTGGGCATGTTTCAATTAGCATCTATATGTTCACATGCTTGCATTCATTCATCTGTATTGCATGCACTGAGCTCGGCGCATCATGCTAACTGCATTGTATTTCAATTCCAAGTTGAATACATGTATCGATTGTTGCATCTCATATGCCATCTTAGAATAGCCGAGCCTATTGTAGTTGCATTTTTGCATGTGTTGCATTAGGCATTCTTAGCATAGTTAGGATTCATGCATGATTTCTAATTAGCTTCTTTCTTTAGCTCGGAGTACTTGGTAAGTGGTTATGCTTTAGCATCCTTGCATGTGTGTGAGTGACTGCCATGATAGCATGCTTACCATGAGGCTATGTGCTTATGTGATATAACTGCCTGAATGCCTGTGGGTGAAGGTTGGGTTGCTTGAGTTGGAATAATTCGTCAAAATTCACGTCTTAGCCTACTTGCGAGTAGCACCTTCAAACCGTTTTTCAAAAAGAACATGAGATGTTTTGTTCCAATTCAAGCGACCCAGTCTATACTTGTATGTTGTGCTCATCATATAGTAATTCTAAGCTAATAACCGGAATAAGAGCACATGTGTTTTCAAAACTCGATATCATGCTTAGTAGTGGCCGATCTTCGATCGGGCGAGCGGGGGTGCTCATGAAATGACCTTCCCCAATCGTACCCAAGTTCCTGAGCCGAGGCAACTTTGGTGATGATGGACACGTGGCCTTAGGCACGAGTCAGGGTTTCCTAAATTCTCCCAAAACAAAATATTTAGGTGGCGACTTTGTACATAGCAAAGCAGTCCATGTTTGGCACTTCTTTCTAAAAATCTATTTTTCAAAACGATTTTCCGGATTTGGACTCTTTGGTGATTTATTGGTCTCACATTGCACTTTGTAGGATTAGATTCAGAACCATGACATTTGAGTCCGAACTGTAGTAAGCCCAATGAACAAAACGGGATCCCTCCCAGGACGTTCGGGGATGTCTACAATCAAGCTGAGTATATCTAGTTCCCCATCATGAGCCAAAGATTGAGCTTCGTGCGAAGTAAGCCCGCACATCCGTCCTAAAGCTTGGGCATGGCCAAAATGGGGCTGAGGCATGATTTCCTCGTCGCGTCAGGATTCTAGCAACACTTAAAACTCTTCAAAAGTCAGGCATAGTTCTTGTGTTCCGAATCGAAATACATGTGTAATTGGGTCCCAACATCGGGCCGCGGCATGGAGGAACGGAAAACAAAGTGGAGTACGGCTCAATGGAAAAAGCACATTTATGCCAAAACCTCAGAAATTCACCTTTTCCGTGCCATCTAAAGTGGCCATCCAATCTTTGAGTTTCTTGGCGAGGAAGATCTCCATTTTTAAGGAAAACAACAGCTAAAATGAGGTTTTAGTGAAGACATGGCGAAGGAGGACCTTTTGTAGAAGATAGGCTGTGAGTGGAGGCCAGCTATCAACCATCTGGTGGTTTACCACAAACGGCCAGCCACCCACTTTTAGTGGCTTGCCACCCACCTTTTGTGGCCGGCCGTCCACTTCATGGACTAGCATTTGGCATTGTGGTTTTGTCCTAATCCTTGTGTTTTAAGGTTTTGTTTTGAGTCTTTTGTTTTGAACAAGTGTAAATAGCTGTGTTTAAGTTGTTTTTACTTTGTTTTCCATTTATCGAGTTGTATTATGTATTTTGGTCGTTGGTTGGCTCATTATCCGATTGAGAATATCATTCTAATACAAGCATTCTCGGTTTCAAATTCAATTTCATTTCCATTCTATGCAATATGATGCTCATGATGCAAAAACAAATAAACTCTTTTCATAAAACAACGAGGTTTTTCCCCGATTAGAGTTTTTTTTTTTTTACAAAAGAAAGTAAAAGTTTTCAAAAGCAAAAGTAAAAACTAACTGGATCTATACATGTGCTAAGCTACCAAAATAAAAGAAACTAAGTAAAAAGTACAAAAATCTGCGCCAATCGCATCAAGCTTGAAAGGCCCTCTTCGTCCTCTTCCTCGGAGGGGACTCAGGGGCACTGTCTCCATCGGCGGCGCTATCAGAATCGAACTCTGAGCCAGAGTCAGTATCATCATCTCCATTCCCTGACTCAAAACTATAAAAGTTTTCAAAAGCAAAAGTAAAAACTAACTGGATCTATACATGTGCTAAGCTACCAAAATAAAAGAAACTAAGTAAAAAGTACAAAAATCTGTGCCAGTCGCATCAAGCTTGAAAGGCCCTCTTCGTCCTCTTCCTCGGAGGGGACTCAGGGGCACTGTCTCCATTGGCCGCGCTATCAGAATCGAACTCTGAGCCAGAGTCAGTATCATCATCTGCATTCCCTGACTCAAAACTAGCCTCAGCGTCCTTCTCGCTCTCTAATCTCGAGCTAGCATCATCGTCCCCGCTCTCAGACTCAGAGCATCGGCTCACTGCCTCCTCAGAATAGCTGGTCTCAGTATCGGCCTCACTCAAAACCGGCTCTAAGTCGTTCCGACTCCAAGCACCTTTGCCACTACCTTGACCTTGACACTCGTCTCGACCGCTTGCTAGGGCCTGTCTATCTCTCCTCCCGACTGCTGGAGGAGGTGTCGCCGATGCTGCTGCTATTGCTGGTGCCCTTGGTGCAGGTGGAATCAAGGTATTAGCCACAGTATGTATGTTGCAGAATGTAGTATGCAGTATGAGTATGGTATAGAAAATAGATACAACATGGGTGCAGTGTGTAAGTGTAGTGTATTAGTACAGTATGTCAGTACAATGTGTCAGAAGGTATGGTGCTTTACAGAATGCAGTATCGTGTATCAGTGGGAATATGGCATATCAGTATAGTGTGGGAAGCAATGCAATGCAGGAGGAGAATGGAAGTATACCTGGATACTGTGCAGAGTGAGCAGTATCTCCCTCCTCTACACCATGTGAACTAAGGAGGTAACCAGCTTAAGAAGGCCCTCTGTATATTCTGTGGGGGTCTGCAAGTGAAGTTGAGTAATCAGTATCTGAAAAGGGAAAGTACGGAATACAAGTTGTCAAGCATGGTCCATACTTGAGGTGCGCCGGGATGTGGCTTGCTTTTCGTGCTCCTTTCGGATATGATAGTCCTACAGTTTGGACTCCCGTGGTTCTGAATCTGATCCCACCAGTGCAATGTGAAATAAGTAAACACAAATGAGTCCAAATCTGACAATTCTTTTGGAAAATCGATTTTGAATCAAAATGCCAAAAATAGACTGTTTTGCCAGATACAGAGTCGCCACCTAAATATTTTTGAAAAATTTAGGAAATCCCGTGACTCGTGCCAAAGGCCATACGTCTGTCATCACTAAGATTGTCTCAGCTCAGGAACTTAGGTATGAGAGGGGAAGGTCATAATTTGAGCATCCCCCGCACCCGATCAAAGATTGGTTTCTACTAATCATGATTTGATTTTTATTTACATTATATTCTCTTGTTCCGATTTATTAGCTATTTTTACTATGTGACACACACAAGTATAGACTAATTTGTAAAAGTTTGAACATTTTGATTTCATGTTTGTTTGAAAATTATTTTTGATACATCGTCACTTGAAAAGGCGAGTTTGTACATTAATCAACTTATCCCAATTTTAGCAAGTAGCCTTCATCCGCCGACATTCAAACAAGTATATCATTTAAGCAATTAGCCTCATGGAAAGCATGTTTGATATGGCAACACGAACATACGATGTGATATGCTAAAACAATAAGTGCTCACCTAGTACTCCAAGGCAAGCCAAATAAAGAAAAATGATTAGAAAAATATGCATGTTCCTAAACAATATAATGTGACTAATGCAATGCACACATTATGTAATTTTAATAAGCTCGGCTATGAGCATGATATATGATCCAACTCAAGACATGTGATTAATCACGTATTCAAACAATGAAATTGAAATTGACATTGGTTAGCATAATGAGCTGAAGCCAAATGCATGTGAGACGAGTGTATGCAAACATGGGCAATGCTAAGGAAACATGATGCTCTATGCTACCAGTATAAGTGGGTAAATAAAAGGGAGAAAGAAATGGGGGTTGAAAGACATACACGCTTATTAAATAATTTTACCCTCACGCAAGAGGGTTCGAATAAGTGTCCAAGTGTCCAGATTAAACTAACTATTACAAACCCAAATGAAGGGCTTAAGCTAATGAATACTAAATTAGCTAAACTAACTACTTCATTACAAATTCGAATAGATGCTAAATAAATAACTAACTATCTAATTTATTACAGCAAGGACATTATGATAATAATAATTACAACAATATGATTACAACAATAATATGAAAACAAGCAACAATAAGAATGCACAATGATCGCATGTGCAGTGTTCAGAAACTGCTCTGTCTACCCAGACTACTCCGCCTCACCCTTAGCCACTGCCCTCTGTTTCTGCAAAAAACTTACTGCTTGCCAAACATTGGGAGTCGGCTGGCCCACAATGAGCTTCAGTTGGGCCAAAAAAGTGCCGGCCGGCGCTAAATTTTATGTCAAAAACTGTTTTGCGCTCTAAAATGAGAACAGTGCAGACAGAGCCCGTCTAGGCCCTGTTTATCCCTTCTGCTCTCATCTATCATGAAACTCAAGAGAAGAGTGAATTCGAGTCCGAAACCATCAATTGGCACAATTTGATGGCTTGATGATTTTGAGCATATTAGGACAAAATTTAATAAACACAATGGAAAATCACTTTTCCCTCCTATTATGAAGGCTTAAAGAGGAAAGTAGACACGCACCAAGTTTTAACAACGTATCATGGATTGACAAGTGACAATTCTCGGAATGGTGGACTCGACATAATGTCCAGCTGAATCCAACTAACTCTAAACATTTACTTTATGTCGGTTTCATTGATTTTAAGCCAATTTTAGCTTTTTTGACCTACCTTTCCATTACTTAGTCAATTTGTCCAAGGTGATATTTAAGTCCACTAAATGAAGAGATATGTCAAACGAGAAGCGATTGACGATGAACCTTCAAAGAGATTAAGCCATTGAGCATAGATCTCTTTCTCATGCCTTGAACAACAAGCACTTGTTTGAAATAACTCTCGAACAAAAGAAAAAAAGAAAGGTGGGCGGGTGTAGAAATGATTATGCGAAGTTGATTATTTAAAATGAAACTCTTCATATGAAAACTAAGTAAATAAAGCTATCAATTCAAATGACTCAGTGTCTAAGGCCTAAACAACAGAAGTTATGAGGCCTTACAACACAACAAGTATGATATTCAAAACATAAACTATTTAAATGAATTAAACAGCCCATAACAGCCCCTAAAATGTAGAAAAACAGTAGCTAAAAGCAAGAGAAAGTAAGTAAAAAGAATAAAGAAAAAGCTACGGAACAAAGCCTACCCCTCCACTTTTTGCAATTTTAAATCACAAATTTCAGCCCCAAAACAGTCCAAGAACAGTCCAAAAACAGTGGCTAAAAGTGTATTTAAAGAGCACAAAAAGATAGACAAAAAGCAAGAGATATAAAGCTAGTAAGCAAAATCAAAGAGAGGTGGTTAACCCCTCCACTTTTGAGACTTTTAAACCATGTTTTTCAACCTTTTTAAACTCTAAAAATCAGAGTAAAAAACAAAGAAATGAGTGCAAGAACAAAGGGTATGAGCTATGAAATAAGGTGAAAGAAAGGGTGTTAAGCTGTAACAACCCCGACCCTTAATTAACGTTAATTCATGCTTAAGTGTGCCTAACAAGTAATTAATAAGAGATCGTGAGTTAATTACATGTGTATTGCATTATTTTTGTGCCTCTATCTGTTCATCGTAGATAGATCTGTACATGTTTTAGTTTCGAATTACAAATTGAAGGCCTTATCAGCATCCGATACAGAAATTGATCTGATTTATATGTTAATTGGAATTTTTAGAACCATATGGTAGGTTCAATCGAAATTCGTTTCGGAACAATTAAATAAGATTAATTTAATCCCACTTAATTGCCTATGACTTTAGCTAATTAAACACCATTTCTTTTATGAAATTGAAATTCGATTTGGAACGATTAAATTAGAATAATTAATACTACATAGCTTAGCTTAGGTCAATTAATTAAGTGCCACTAAGTGGGCCTATACAAGACTATTTCTATTCCTCTTATATACTTTTGACACTCTTATTTCCTCATCCTGGAACTCAACGTGTGAGAGAGAGAGAGCAAGAGAGAGTTGAGATAAATACTTGAGCTTGGAGGAATTGCTAGGGAATTCAAGGAGATTGGTTAGGAACCTTAGAGAATTCACCAATTAGAGCTTCATTGAGAGGTTGAGGTATGAATTCAACACCTAGATTATGTAATTGTGATGTTAAAACATGGATTCATGAGGATTAAGTTGAGTAATTTAGGATGAACAAAAAAAAGAATGAGAGAACATAGATCATATCATGCATGCATGCATGTTTCATAGCATTTTTAAGTTGATTTTTAAGAATTCTCTCATGCATATGTTTCGTGTTGTTTTGTAACATTTGATCATGTATTGAGGAGCCTTGGTTCAAAGAATTGCATGCATGTTATGTTCATGAATTATTTTTGAGTTTCAAGTTGAATTTTTGCACAATGGGCAAGCCAATGAGCCATGGTTTCTTGAAATGATCTTTAATTCATGTTGTTTTAAGGGTTTTCATGTATTTTCTCAAGCTTTGGCCCAGAAAAATGAGATTTGATGCTTTAAAGGTTGAGTTTGAGCTTGAAGATCAAATCTGGAAATTCCAGAAATTTGATCCACGCTCGAGCGGGGGACTTCACACTCAAGCGAGCACTCTGAGTACGTGCACTTCCGCTCGAGCGCGAAATGCATATACCCAGAAGTTCATATGTTTTTCAGTCCGCTCGAGTGAGGGAATTCACGCTCGAGCGAAGGTTTGAGTCTCACGCTCGAGCGGGGGTCGAGTGTCCGTCGAGCATGAAAAGCATGACACCAGTACTTTTTCCAAAGTTTGCAGTCCACTCGAGCGAGGGAAGTCACGCTCGAGTGAACCTTCACATCTTGCATGTCTGTTCGAGCGGGGAAATCCACGCTCGAGCGTGGACCCTATTTTCAGTGAAATTTGAGAAATGTTTTCA